CCCATCTTTATTTTGTGCATGTTATGACATGTTTGACACGCCACACTTATATTCATTATCTAAATTTGATTTTTTTTTAAAAAAAGTCATTATTCAGACAACATATAGTTAATGAGAAAAAAATTATTATTTTTGACTCACATAGGATTCACTTATACATGCTTACAATAATTGTTCACTTAACACGCACACTTTTACTCTAATTTTCAGATTAAACGTTTCGTAGGCACTAAAAAAATAATATTAATTTCAACATAGTTAATAGTATCAGATGACCTGTTTAATGTAGAACAATATATCTATTGATATTCTACACTGTGATCGTAATTTAATCAACGTCAGATCACGGTTAAAAGCCGTGGAAAAATACTGGACGGCCGTTTGAGACTCATTCGCAGTGCGTATCCATGACTCCTGCTACTCACCGGGATTCAAACCAAGAACCTTCGATCTTACGCGTGTACACTTAACTTCTGGACCGATAGGCTGGCAGTTAACTATGTTAATGTCTAACTCTGATCAGTCTTAGGCTTCGAGCAACTTCAATGATTGTTTTCAGTAGCTACTGCCTACACTCTACAGGGGTGAACTTCACTGATCCCGTAGTCTCACTAAAACTTCAAGAGTTTCTTCACGAAGTTAGTCAATAATGAGCACATGTTATGATTGAAATTTGATAAATTTGTTGTTTTATTTTATTTATTCAAAATAGCTTGAACCAGATTTTCAAGTGAAACGTTGGTTTAATCGCTGAGATTTTTAAAAATGTAATTTTCCTCCTTAAGATATTATGTGTATAACGAAAAGACGTAAAATTATAAGGCTAATAACTTTTTATTCTTACCACATAATCTTTTATTATTATTGTTATTTATACAATTGCTGGGGATGTTAGATCCCTAAAACTCGCTTGTTAAATGCCTCATTTTGGATTTCACGTTTGCGAGCATGGGCTGATCAGTTGACCTTGAGATTTCATTTCCCACCAGCAAAATCCATGGTTGTGATTGGCTGCTGTGTATTTTAGTGTGCTATTTTTGTGACTGTCCCAAGGATGTTTCTATGATGTATAAATAAACGAGATTTGTGTGCTTGATTGTATTGTGCTTGCTGAGTGTTTGTAGAATATACTTTCTACGCTTATCAAGACTTCTCTTTTACCGTTTGGATTCAAGGTAGCCTATCTGGACGCTGGTAATTGTCTCGTTCGCATTTATCGACTAAGGTGAACTCGTAATAGCTTCAAGCGTACCTAGTGACAAACATAACAACATTATAATCTAGTACTGTTATTATTCAATCACTAATGATTTATCCTCATTGAAAGAATACTTAAAGTTTCATGTTTATTTTCGATTGTCTAGTTTGATGTACAAACAATTCATTGAAAAGAGATCCCTTGTCAGGATTTCCGGTTAAATACTTTCATGATATAATCTTGTTTGACTGCTATAAACTCAAAGTGATTCAATTCATTGAAAATTAATAGACAACACTCTATCTCCAAGTTTAGAATTATGGGTCTGTTTATTAAAATGATTCAAACTTAGTGATAACTGTTAACGATCACTTTCCATAAATTGATCCAGTTCCCATCTATCTCACTTGCCAGTTATTCATAATGTTCTTCACTATGTGAATTACTCGTAACTATTATTTGGTTATTAAACTGTTCATTTTGATTATCAGAGAACTCTTGAATGATAAATTATGTCAGTATATATGCTTAACTTTTGTTACTACTAATGAGTAGGTAAATATTTAAAACAAAGTTTATGTGTGCTGGTTGTTTAAATCTTCCTATCGTTGTTCGAAAGTGCATTTAAACAATTTCTTTTGGCTTCTTTAAATCTTGTTCAAGTTGATTTGAAATAGACACTAAGTCTTGGGCATGTACAAGCATATATGGATAGCGGATAGTAATGGAGCCTAGGTCACGTGTTTCGTCATCAGCTTTATGTATAAAGGCTATGACATTTCAGGGTTCGAATAAGCAACCACAGGATTAAAGAAAAAAATAGATAGGAAAATATATTCGGAAACTAATCAAATAACAGATAAATCAACTCATTAATATTTATCTGAATGACAATTTTATAAAGGTAGAAATCAGTGTGACTTATAGTTTTATGAGAAGCTTTGATCTAAGGATCGAAGTAAGTTAAGAGCGACATTGCAACTGACTAAAGTGATCAGATAAAGGCTAAATAAGTGGAATTTAAAATTTGAATTATAAGATTCTGATCCAGCATGTCAGTGGTATCATCCTCGATTCCATAGATAAGATATGGTGCATTACTTTGTGCACATTAGTAGAGATACACTACTGAGGAGTTCTATGTAACACTAACACAACAGCCTTATACGCCATGGTTTTGTTAACCGATGCTAATGATAAAATTGCCTTTCAGTATGAAAATTTTGAAACTTCAAAAGTACAGATCCACTTATTCCGATATTAGTAGGACCTATGTACCTATAGTAATAAGGGTAAACATTTTACTATCGATCTAATGTGTCGGAATTAAATAGTTGTCATTTTGAATTATGTTCACTTTGATATATATATATATATATATATATATATATATATATATATATATATATATATATATATATATATATCTGTACATAATGTCATCAAAGACTTGATGTTTCCCTTCTGGTTTGCTTGATAAATTATGTTCTTTTGATTAAAGATCACTCGAATGATGTCAACTGATCTATTTACCACCAAGTCAATACATGATAGATTCATAACCAGCATTAACAGAGCGAATTTTCTACCCTTAGCTCTAATTTTAAAGATTAATTTCAAGGGAAACTTCTCAATCATATCTTAAACTGTACTTTTTAACTCACTAATATTTTACAAGATAAATGTGTGATATTGATTGTCTGCTATTGTTCTATAGCTTGTCAGCTATGTCTTTTAAAACATAAGGAATTCTTGATTTTATCAATTACTGTGAACAATTAATTATCTTTTCAAATATACACAAAGGAGAAATAGAGAAGTATGATTGAAGTACACACAGATTCCCAGAATACGAATCATCTTTTTTATGACATGAATCAAATGATTTGAAATTCACAATAGACATTTGTTCGCAAACAAACACAATTCTCCATGTTTACAGACAAACACACAGCGCCGTATTTATTTTACAACCTTGAGGTAGGTTTTACATATAAATTTATGGCTGGTTTTTTTTATGATAAAACAAAACAACATACCTGATAACCTGATTTTTTAGCTGGCAAATTTACATCCTAGATACTACTGATAGTTTACTTGAACAGATTGATAAAGTATATATGCGAACTTGATAATCATCATCATCATAATAATAATAATAAAATTGAAATCTATGAGTTACCGTATTTCTTAGAATAAATCTATTCTTTTCTAAATGTAGAAACTAAAAAATTATGTTCAAATAAAACATGGTAATAAAAGTCAATATGTTGATAGTTTAGAATTTTTTTGTGTGGGCAAGTTATAGACATTTACAATTCAATAATGTACATCAATATTAGCTGACTAGATGTAAATGAAAATAGTTGGCTTTTTTTTTAAAGAAAAAATAGTTCATAAATTTGATTACATTTTTTGGTTTTACAATCGATACAAAATATTAAGAAGTATCATATTACACACACATATATTGACAATTAGATCTAATATATATGATTTAATTGTAGAGTAGATAGATAAA